CAATACAGTCAATAATATTGTAATACACTTATCGTGGTGAGCATTTTGTAATGTGTGTAATGTATATAGTGATTGTTGAATCACTGTGTTGTACACCTGAAACTAATTTAATATACGTTGAGAATACTTCAATTAAAAATAAAAAAAAAATCAGTTGACTACAAATGTCAGAGCATTTCCAGACTCTGAATTTTATTCCATTGATCAGTATGTCTGTTCTTATGTCAGTACCACACTGTCTTGATTAGCGTGTCTCCATGATAAGTTTTGAAATTGGGGAGCAGGTCTTCCAACTTGTTTTTTTCCAAGATTGCTTTTGGGCCATCCTGGAACCCTTACATTTCTGTATGACATTTAGGATTGGTTTGTCAATTTCTGCAAAAAAAGAGCCAGGACGGATTTTGACAGGGATTGCATGAAATTTGTGGATTAATTTAGGAAGTATTGTCATCTTAACAATATTGAGGCTTCTGATCCATGAACATGAGATGTCTTTCCATTTATGTAGTCCTTCTTCCATATCTTTTCATTGTTTTATAGTTTTCAGTGTCCAAGTTTTGCTGGTTTTGCTAAATTTATTCCTAAGTATATTATTCTTTTTGATGCTGTTGTAAATGGATTTAAGAAAAAATCCATTTCTGGATTTTTCATTGCTAGTGTTATAAAAATGTAATTCTATACATTAATTTTGTCTCTTGCAACCTTGTTGAACTTGTTTATTTTGGTGTGTTTGTGTGGATGTGTATTCCTTAGGATTTTCTATATGCAAAATCATGTCATCTGTGTATAGAGATAATGTTTTTTTTTTAAATCTGGATGCCATTCATTTCTTTTTCTTGCCTAATTGCCCTGGCTAGAACCTCCAGTCAAATGTTGAGTAGAATTGGCAAAAGTGGATTTCCTTGGATCAGATTTTTAATGTTTAGTGGTTTGGAAATACGTATTACTGACAGTGATACTTTGGGAACTTGAAAATCCAGCTTTATGTCCTCTTGTAGTAACAAAAGTAGTAAAATCTTTTATTTTAAGTTTATTTATTTTGAGAGCGAGTGGGGAAGGGGCAGAGAGAGAGGGAGAGACAGAATTCTAAGCAGGCTCTGTGCTGCGAGCACAGAGCCCGACACGAGGCTAGAACCCATGAAGTGTGAGATCATGACCTGAGCCAAAATCGGATGCTTAACCCACTGAGCCACCCAGGTGCCCCAAAACTTCTGTTGGAATTTAGCATGCTGTTTATTTTTTGAATATTAATATGCACAATAGAGTCTAGCTTGGCTTTTTCCAAAACTTCAGTGCCTCTGCTTTGTTAGCCTTATGAATTTGTTTTCTAAATGTCACTGAAGTAGGCCAACTGTGGGACTTCTAAAAACATTATCTCTAATGTATATGTCCTAAGGAATTGTGTGTACTGAGTAGAGTTGAATAAGAATGAATAATCAGGATGTTCATATTGTCTCTATTAGTGCTGCTTAGTCTTAGTTTGGGTTAATAATGCTTTACAGTTAGCACATTTGAAGTAAGTTTATAATTTGTGATAGATACAGTTGACAAGCAGAGATAATGATAGTGGGTAAGGTGATGAGGAGGCAGTGATTATACTACTTTTGATAATTTAATTCTACATCCAACTTCTGAAAAGCATATTTTCCTTTTTAACCCTTTTAAAAAATTCCAGTATAATTAATATGCAGTGTTATATTAGTTTCAGGTGTACAGTGTAATAATTCAATAATTCTATACATTTCTCAGTGCTCATCAAAATAAGTGCATTCTAGGGGCAGCTCGGTGACTCAGTTGGTTAAGTGTTTGACTCTTGATTGTGGCTCAGGTCATGATCTCACAGTTTGTCAGTTTGAGAATCCCTCCTCAGGAGTCTTTCTCCCTCCTTCTCTCTCTGCCCCTCCCCCGTTCATGCACACACACGTGCTTTCTCTCTGTCTCTCTCTCTAAGTAAAAAACTTAAAAAAATAAGTGTACTCTTAATCTCCTTTATCTATTTCCCCCATCTGCCCAGCCACCTCCCCTCTGGCAACCACCAGTTTGTTCTCTAATTTGTTCTCTGTATTTAAGAATGTGGTTTTTTTTTTGTCTCTTTTTTTCTTTGTTTTGTTTCTTAAATGCCACACGTAAGTGAAATCATATGATATTTGTCTTTCTCTGACTAACTTATTTCACTTAGCATTATAACGTCTAGGTCTATCCATGTTGTTGCATATCGCATTCTTTTTTATGGCCGAGTCATAATTCATCATGTGTATATACCACATCTTCTTTTTTTTTTTTTTAAATTTCTTAACGTTTATTTATTATTGAGGGACAGAGAGAGACAGAGCATGAGCATGGGAGGGGCAGAGAGAGGGGGAGACACAGAATCTGAAGCAGGCTCCAGGCTCTGAGCTGTCAGCACAGAGCCTGATGCGGGGCTCAAACTCACAAACCACGAGATCATGACCTGAGCTGAAGTTGGACGCTTAACCGACTGAGCCACCCAGGTACCCCTATATACCACATCTTCTTTATCCATTTATCTATCGATGGGCACTTGTGTTGCTTCTTTATCTTCGCTTTATAAATAATGCTACAGTAAACATAGGGGTGCATATAGCTTTCTGAAGTAGTGTTTTTGTTCTCTTTGAGTAAATATGAAGGGTATATTTTCTTGCTCATATTTATTCTCTATAGAAAGAGGTGGAAGTAACTCTTCTGTACTTTATTCCTTATTATAGATTGTTAGTACTTAGATATCAAATTCAGAAAATAGAATTTTGTTAAATATATTGAACATTTCTTGAATATATTCTGTATGTTACACTTTGCCCCATTGGAAACACCAAATAAGTACAAGCCTGTTCATTCTCTGAATGCTTGCAAGATATTTAGGAAAAGCAAATGTTTGTCCTTGTACTGCTCTGTATTTGTGGTTCTCTGTGTATATCGTGTCTCCCTGACTAAGTGTAAGCTCCTTGAGGAGAACCATCCTTATATTGACACAGTGTGTATCACAGTGCCTCACATATACCATGTGTTTATTATGAATTTTTGAAATCAGTAGAACAGGAAGAAAACAATATAATACTACAACTAAATACTCAAATGAATGGTGTCACTAGTCAGTATTGTTGAATGTGAGGCAATGATGATTGGCGTGTACTGGATTTATCAGGAAAGTCTTCATGCAAGGCAGGATTATTAAGTGGACTTATAAAGGATAGGTAAGAACTGAGCAAGGCGAAAGGGCATTTCAAGTAGGTGTCATAGTTTGGAGGTCAGTAAGCAGATCATATCGACTGGAATGGAAGGTTGGTATTGGGTTGTAGATAGAAGGGTGAACCAATAAGTAGGATCGTCATATTTCAGAGGCCTTTAAGGCTAGTTTGAAAGATTTGCCCTTTACTCCATTTGACATTAGCAAATCATTGAAGTTCTTGGAGCTAGAAGGTTTTGGGGCAAAGCATTACTTTAAGAATGTTTACTTGGTGATAGCATATATTATGGGCTGGAGGGAAACTTGTACCAGGAGACCACTTAGGAGGGTATGAAAATAATTGAGTTCTTCTAGTCTGTCGATTCTTAAAGAGCAGAGTTTTTTCTTTTATCTTTAGTGGCTAGCATAGTGGCTACAGCAGAATTCAATTTTACTTTTTTTTGTTGGATGCATGAATGCATGAACTAGGTCATCTGGGCCTGGAGAGAGCTGTTAGCAGCAGGAAATACCCATGTGAGAAACATTTTGGAGGGAGAATTGAGGTGACTTGTTTTCTAATAGTATAAAGAGTGCGTAAGGTCAAAGAGGACACTCAAGTCACAGCATGGAGGATTAAGGAATCTCTAGAAATAGGAAAATCAGCTAGGGGAAGTGAGGAGCGAGAAAAGGGAGAGTCAGAGCATGTTTTTAGACTTGCAGAGTTTGAGACTGAAACACATAGTGCGTAGAGGTAGAGAGGCTCAAGTGAGAACTGAAGTCTAAGTGTATTAATTTGGATATTACTATGAAGATCCTGTCTGAGCAGGAAAAATGATTGGACTGATGAAACTCTGTGCGTGGGTACAGAGGTTGTATGCACGTGCACGTGCATACACACTCATACGCTAGAACCCGGTACGTGTGTTCAATTGTCCGTACATTAATGTGCTGGTTGGTATTAGCAGAATGATGAGTACTGGTTCTTGGGGTGAGCAGAGGGGCAAAAAAAAAAAAAATGCTAAAGAAGGAGACAGGAAAGGAACAGAGGTGGAAGAACTTAGCAACACAAATTTGTTAAGGAGACTTTGTAATTTGTCTTGTGTTTCAAGACGGTGTCAGCTAATAAATAATTAGGATACATTGTAGACATAAACCTGACCTTTTTGATTCCAAGCCAAATATTGTTTCCATTATACCAAAAGTTTGCGTGTTTAATTTTTTCAAGGCAAGGTCCTTATCTTTAGAGAAACAGTCTTCAGGAAAGGCTTCTTAATTAGCAGGCAGTGATTGGACGGTAACATTTCTTATAGAAAAATCTTCATGTGCTTTGGATGTGGATGCTTCCACTTTTCTGCTTGGGTATTTATATTTGTAGTGTGGTAGGAGACAAAACTTCTGATTGCATGTTGTAGATAGGAATTTAAAAGATGATATCATTTCTTCCATTTGAAAAATTAATCATTTAGAAGATGCTTTTCAAAAATTTATTCATTTATTTATTTATTTTGAGAGAGAGAGAGAACGCTCGGTAGGGGCAGAGAGAGAGGTGAGAGAGAATCCCAAGCAGAGAGAATCTGACAGCGCAGAGCCTGATGCGAGGCTTGAACTCATGAACCGTGAGATCATGACCTGAATCGGAATCAAGAGTCAGACGCTTAGCCGACAGTCACCCAGGCGTCCCTCAGAATTTTTTCTTTTTGTTAAAGTAAATGTAAACTCCTTTCTTTTTTTTTCAGAAGTGTTTTTGATGCATTCCTCAGAACATTCATAAATTAGCAAGGAAATACAAAAGGCCTGATGTTTTCTTTTCTTTCAGGGGATATCATTTTCAATGCCCAATACCCAGAGCTGCCCCCTGATTTTATCTTTGGAGAAGATGCTGAATTCCTGCCAGATCCCTCGGCTCTGCATGTGAGTAGTGCAGGCTCGTTTTGGATGATCTTTATTTGTTGAAGGAAAATAAAATTAGCTTTTGACAATCGCCTGACAGATAAATTTGCCAAACATGTGGGGTTTTTTCCACCCCTTTTTCCCTCTGTCCTCTGAAATAAGTACAACTCTTCATGTGCCAACATAGTTTAAAGATTTTTTTTTCATTGCAGTTTTACTTGCAGACTATTTTGAATTAAAATCTGTAGCATATCGGTTAAAATATTTTTACTTCAGCTTAAAGAGACATGTTGAAGAGATTTCTTTATTTTAACTTAATATTTCATGCCTGCAATCAATTTTCTAATGTTTACTAACACTTCATCACAGAGCTTGTTAGGGGAGTGTTTCTTGGCTCTTCAAGAGGCCTTTTTTGTATAGAAGTGAAAGTGGCAAATTTGGACTTGTATCCATATTATCTCAGTATTATTATCAGAAGGGTAAAGATCAGATTAAGTGTTCTTTATTAAGCAAGACCAAAAACTTTGTAGTTAAAGTAAAATATTTCTGGGGTTAAAGCAGGGAAAGGAGCTGTGGTACTTGTCAGAGCACATGTGGTTTACATAAAAAATTGTGTGTTTCACATTGCTCGTGGAGAAAAACATGTGCCATTTTGTTTAAAAGGTCTGACCAGACAAGATGTCTCTTTCTTTCCCTTCTCAAGTTCAGTTTTGCCATGCTGCCTATACTATAAGAGGGTTTTATTGTTCAAAACTATGTCCTTTGTTTGGTCTTTTTTGTCTCAAAGTTTTGTAATTAAAAATTTTGATGACTTTGAAATCTTGTGCCCCCCCTCCCTTTTTAAAAAGGGAAGTGTTAAACAGGAAGTTTTAACCCAAACCTAAAGAATTATCTTAAATTTTGGAACACAGCCATAAAAATGTGATTGGCAAGAGTAGGCTGGGTTTGTTGCAAAATTTCTAATAATTACACTCAAACTGCTAGTTGATTTTCAAAAATGTGTAGTTTAAGCATGGTCCCTTTAGATGCTACGTGTTACACATTGACCCCATATTGAAGCGGAGGGGCTTACCTGGAGTTAAAGAGTCAGAAATATCTCTACAGACCTCTTCTGTGTTAAATCTGCCCAGTGGAGGGTAACATATGTGAAATGCCAAAGATGTATGACAGGCTAAGTGCTCCAGGAATTTAAAGAAGGTTGTCAGAAAAGGCTTTGTAGTAGAGGTGACACTTGGACTCACTCTCAAAGAATGGAGCCTAAGTAGGGAGTATGGCAGAGAGAATTTCAAACGGGGGGCATGACATAAGCAAATGAAATGTATAATGTATTGTAGCGCTACTGACAGGTTTGCTGAAGTGTAAGTTAATATAAGGAAGGGCTGGAAAAGGTTAGAGAGGGAAGTTGGGACAAGATTGTGGAGAACATTGAATGCTAGGTTAAGAGCCACTGAAGGAAATGATAATAACAGAATCATTCAGTAGCAATGTGGTCAGTATAATGGATCAAGGAAAGGGTAAGGAGCAGAACTGAGGACTGTTGCCAAAATCTGGGGGAGGGCGAAGAAAGGGGCTTTGAGCTAGGATGATACAAGAGGGAATACCATGAAGGAAAGGATAAGAAATATTTACAACTTCTTTTTTGGGAATTGCCTTTAAAATTTGCAAGGCACATCTTCAAAGTATTGTGAGAGTGTAGAATTTAAAACCCAAAAGGACCTCGAGGTTCAGCTTATTCCACTTTTCTGTTTTATTTTATTTTTTATGGGTTTTGAAATTCTTTTTATTTTAGTATTTTTTGAGAGAGAGAGAGCGCCTGTGCAAGGGTGAGTGTGCAAGCAGGGGAGGGGCAGAGAGGGAGGGAGAGAGAATCCCAAGCAGACTGCACACCCAGTGCCTAGTGTGAGGTGGGGCTCGATCTCACCACCCTGAGATCATGACCTAAGCCAGAATCCAGAGTCAGGTGCTTAACCGACTGAGCCACCCAGGCACCCCACTATTTTTTTATTCTAATACTGAGAAAATGGACCTAGAATTTTATAATTGTGTCAGAGTTGATACTATAACTCTACTCTTCTTATATTTAGTCCCTGAGTGAAGTTTTTGCAGGTGTTTTTGAGAAATTAGCTGAAGAGGAACAGCCAAAAAAAAAAATCAAAGCACTATGTCTAAGAGGACAATTACAAATCTAGGGGAATGCTTTCTTCAGCTATAGTCAATCTGAGGACTCAGGCAGGCTACCCAGTGCTTCTTCCGGCACCAGTGGTTTAGGCAAGTCTAGAAAAGCAACCAAGGGACACCGTCTACCAGCTGGTGAGGTCCACCCAGCCCTAGAGGTACTCTGGATGTTCATTGTCATCTGGCTAAAACACTAGGACAGGATAAATGTCAGCAGACGTCTCCCTGAGCATAGCATGCCTCCAAAGGACTTTTCCCTCACCTGTTAACAGGTTATGGTTTAATTCTTCAATTCAGGTCAGCCTTTTTTCCTTCCTTCCTGCAGTGTGCAGAACACAGTCACTAATAACCTGATTAGTCCGTATGAAGTTCTGAATGAAGGAGGGATTACATATTTCATCACCTATGGAGCGGAGAACAGAATGTCTAGAGTTTTTGGATTTTTCCCTTGAAGTACTAATTGCAGGAGGGAATGAATAGGTACCCTTAGATTCTGGGAGTGTAGTCCAAAGTAGTCGCTGTGGCAAATATGGAATTTCCCTGAAGTTACTGGGTTTTATCTTCAAAATTAATAAAAATTATTTTGCATTTGATTCCATAATATGCTTGTGCTCTTTAATAAAAAGTATATTAAATTACAAATATTTGAGAAAAAAATGTGTTCCACTTTGAGAAATACAGTTTTTGAGAATATTTTATTTATTCAATTTCTTTAAACTGGCTTCTTTCCATGAAAGGATTTGAAGTAAATTAAATAAAGGATGCACATAAAGTCAATAAAAATATGTGAGGTGCTCTAATCCATCAGATGAAGTCACCTCTTTCCACACTCAAGCTCTTCATTCACAGAGATGAGTTTCATTAAGGACTTTGAGATCCTCAGATGAATGCAAAATACTAGATAGAGATACCAGATCCAGATAAATACTAGATAGACACCAGAGACAAGTATCTCATGGACACCAGAGTCATAAAATCATGGAGTTATAAATGTAGTTGTCCAGTGGTTCCCACTTCTGGCTATCCATTAGAATAATTTAGGAAGCCTGTTAAAAATACAGATTCCTGGATCCCACTGGAATAGCGAATTACACCTGTTAGGGAGCTGAAGAGTCATTAAATTCTCTGGGCCATTTCTATGTATTAGTTTGTGAACTGCTATTGGGAATCACTCATTGAACCCATCTTTTATAGTAACGTCTCCAACAGAAGGTCATTTGTCTTTGCTTGACATTGTTTCCAGTGCGGTATCATTTTCCATTTTGGGGACAGCTTCATTTCTTTTCTTTTCTTTTCTTTTTAATTACCAGCTTTATTGAGACATAGTTTATGTGCCATGTAATCCGCCCATTTAAAGTGTATAATTCAGTGGTTTTTAGTATATTGACAGAGTTGTGTAACCATTGCCAGAGTTGAATTTACATTTTTAAAAACTGAAGTATAATTGACATTTTAACATTATTTGCTTTCAAGGGTACAACATAATGATTTGGTATTTGTATTTATTGCGAAGTGATCACCACAGTGTCTAGTTAACATCTGTTATTATCAAAGTCAAATTTAAACATTAGCTGTCACTTCCCTATCCTCCCCACTCCTACCTGTATCCACTCTAAGCAGTAACTATTCTGCATTCTGTCTCTGTGGATTTGCCTGTTCTGGACAGTTCCTATAAATGGAATCGTACAGTATGTGATCCTTTGTGACTGACCAGTTTCATCAGCATACAGTTTTCAACGTGTCATGTATCACTACTTCATTATTTATTGCTAAATAATATTACATTGTGTGCATATACCACGTTTTATGTATCCATCATCAGTTGATAAACATTTGGGTTGTTTTTATGTTTTGTCTATTGTAAGGACTGTTTTAATTGTTCTTGGATATATCCCTAGGAGTAGAATTGCTGTGTCAAATGGTGACTATGTTTAGCTTCTTGAGAAACTCCCAGGCTGCTTTCCAAAGTGGCTATACCATTTTACATGCCCACCAGCAGTATATAAGTGTTCCAGTTTCTCCACATCCAAATAACCAAAATTTGTTATTATCTGTGTTTTTGATTATAGCCTGTGAAGTGGTATCTCATTGTGGTTGTGGTTTGTGTTTTGCTGATGGCTAATGGCGTTTTGCATCTTTTCATGTCCTTATTGGCCATTTTTATAACTTCTTTGGAGAAGTGTCTGTTCAAATCCTTTGCCCATTTTTTAAATTGAGTTATTTGCCTTCTGTTGTTGAGGTGTAAGAGTTCATTGTATATTCTGGATATAAGGTATATGACTTGTCACAATTTTCTTCCATTCTGTGGATTGTCTTTTAAGTTTCTAGGTAGCATTGTTTGAAGGACAAAAAATATTTAAGTCTAACTTCTCTGCATTTTATTTTGTTGTGTGTGCTTTCGATTTCACATCTAAGAAACCATTGCCTAGTCCAAGGTTATGAAGTCTTACTATTATCTTTTCCTTAAAAACTTCTGGAATTTTTTTGCTGACATTTAGGTATTTGATCCATTTGGGGTTAATTTTTGTGTATTGTGTGAGATAGGGGCCCTATTTCATTGTTTTATAAGTGGAGATCCAGATGTCTAAATATGATTTATTGGAAAAACTGTTTTTTCCTGTTGAGTTCTTTTGGCATTCTTGTTGAAACTCAGTTGACTATAAATGTGAGGGTATATTTCTGAACTTGCCTTTCTATTGATTTGATCTGTATTTTAACCTTATACAGTACCACTCTGTCTTGACTGCTGTGACTTTGTAATAAGTTTTGAAGTGTGAAATATGAGTTTTCCAACTTTGTTCTTCTTTTCCAAGAATCCTTTGACTATTGTGGGTCCCTTGCATTTC